AGCCTCAAACTACTATGAGATTGGCAGCAACAGGGGAGCCTACGTGAAGCTGGGACCGGACCTCGTCCCCCATTTTGTTCAGTACCAAGCGAACAAGATGGCCCATACTCTCACCATGACCCAAAGGCAAGGCTTTCTGGTTGCTCTGTATTCACCAAGTCAAAATTCCAAAAGGGAAAACTTTGGGAGCTTTGAGAAAGTTTGGCTCTGGAGCTGAACTTTCACAGCTTGATTTACTAACTAATAGCGCTAGAGGAGGATTCAAGCTTTGTGCAGAAATTACTGAGGGAGGCTCAAGGGTTGAGGAGGGAGCGTTACAAGATCAGAAGGGGACTCTTTTTTACAGACTGCTGATTTTCCAGCTTCTCTTTTCAATGTCAAGTTTTAACTTGTGACCCTTGCCGAGGTTTCCTTCTGCTTTGTTGCTTCACAAATTGATGCAGGGATTCACTGCATCGGCTGCAGGGAACTGTGCTGCAGGCATGCAGTGCCTTGTCACGAGCACTGAGATGCAGCTGTAGCTGTGCAGAGCAGTTGTGCGAGGGTCTGGGCAATCCACAGACAGGCCAGAGGACCGGGAAGGCGCAGCTTCTCTTGCGCTTCGTGGCAAGTCCTTAATGTGCTTCTCTCTTTTCTGCATCTTCCAGAATCAGCAGAGTAGAGGAGTCAGCCTTTCGAGCCTTGCGGGAAAAGCTCTTTGCTCATACCTCAGCCCTCATCAGCGCATTCAAGGCCTACGATAAGGACAATACAGGTAAATCTGAGCCGAGGGACACTCAGGTCAATTCCCTGGTAGGACAGGGTTGAAGCAGCTGAGTTGAGTGTGTGGCTGGTTGGGAGGCTCCGCACTGATAGTTGTCAGTGACTGTCACGGGGGAGGCTGCGTCAGACCTTGCCACAGCGTTGGTCTCATTTGCTGTTATTCAGTGTCTCTGTTGGGAACCTGTTAATGCCTCAGGGTGGAATTATAACGAGGGGGTGTCAGAGAAGCAAGAGGTGATTAGCCTGATGTGTAGCAATTTAGGCGTGGTACTAGGAGAACCCTTTGGAACAGGAGTATCGAGGAAGCATTGGAAAAGATGACCTGGAACATGTCTGTCACGTGTCACTTGGGAAGGGCTGGGTGGTCTCTAGAGCCCCTTCATCCCTGGAGTCTAACATCACTGGCAAGAGGAAAGCGAGGGTTGTCCTCCATGGCAGCTGCCTCTGTCAGAGCCTTAAAGAAGGAGCTGAGAGTTCATAATTCTCTGGCTGCCAGGAGTGCTCTGCTGGTGCTGTGACCGAGATCTGTTGCTGAGATCTGTCCATTTGTGGGCCGGGGGAGAAAAGGGACACAGTGGTTGGCAGAACTGCTTTCTTGTGGGTAGAGCTGCTTTCTTGCTTTCTTCCCTGGCAGCAAAATTGTTCACAAAAGTCCAGTTCAGCTGTTACAGCAGCTGTTAAACTAGGGGCTTTTCCACGTTCCTGGGTCACTGAGAAAGTACTAGTAGGCTGTAGGCCACGAATTTATAATGAAATATCCAAAGTTAGTGTCTTCCCGTCGTTCAGATGTTTGCAGCCCCACGGCCCTGATTTCTTGCAGTGATCAAAAGCTTGCTGAGGCTGGGGGGGAGCAGAGAGTGCACTTGTGCCTGCAGCGGCTGATGTCTGTACAGCCATGTAGCGTTTTTTCCTGTACTAAAGTGCTCAAGCGTGCCATGGAGAAATGACACTGTTGCTGTCAGCAGCATGGTAGACTGGGTATGCGTACTGCTCTAGGCTTTTTACTTTGCCTTCATGTGCTTTCAGCTGCCTGCCTCTCAGAGACTGCAATGGCTCTCCCTTTTCCTTCCAGGAAGGATCACGCTGAGCAACTGGGCAACGGCAGTGGAGTCAGTCTTGCACCTGGGATTGCCTTGGCGAATGCTGAGACCACAGCTGGTGCGCAGCACGGCAGACGGCATGCTGGAGTACAAGTCCTGGCTTGATGACTTGGCCATGGAGCAGCGGAGCCAAGAGGTAAGGACTCGCCCCCTTCCATCAAAGCATGATGCAAAGCAGCTCACAAGATCCCCAGCACGTGGAACCAAGTATGGTACGAAAGGAGAGCGGATGGTTCCGGTCGATGGAAAAGCTTGCATGAATTTAAGTAGTCCAGAGGCGTTCAGTCCATTGTAGAAATAGATGCATGTGAAATCAAAACCTAGAGGTAGTTTTGGATGCAGGCTTTTAAGTAGAAAAACTACATTCCATTCTCCGAGTCGCAGTTTCTTAATTACACCCAGCGAAACCAACTCTGCAGTGGTTAAAAAACGTAGCCCAAGTCACTGTCTTCTCTGTTAGCCTGGAAAAGCTCTGTTCGGAAGCGATAGGTTGCTGATGTGCTACAATGCAGAGTTGCACAGAGGGTCCAGTCGTCTCAAACCTGTTTCATAAGCCACACACGATGCAAAGTGCGTTGCTGGCAAACTCTTGAGAGGAGTAAACATTTTTATTTAGTGGAAGGTATGCAGTAACTGCTCAGAGAAAGCAGAGAGCGGTCAGAAGGATACGAGGAGTGTGACCATGTTGTCTTTCAGCACATCCAGTCGAGCTTGCTGGAAGTCATCTATCGAAACAGATCCAACTTGGAGACCATATTCAGGATCATAGACAGAGATCATTCAGGTAAGCAGGTGTACAGGGGGTGTTGGTCACTGCATTATATTCCATTCTATTTTTGGCTCCCTTTAGTACGTACGAAGGCATTTTTATTTAATGGTTTAAAGTTTGGGTCTTTCTCCTCCCTTAATTGGGGTTATTGCCTCAAGAGCTTCTGAGGTGTCATTGCAAGTTTCCACAAATGTGACACATTTTTAAGGACTCTCTGCAGTCCAGGTAGAGAATTACTAATTATTTTTTCTGGAGGAGTTCAGCGGAAGAAAAATTGTGATGAGAGCAACGACAGTAATGCAGTGTACTCGGGGTCTTGAGCATTACCTGCTTTCAAGCAGTCATCTCCACCAAATTACTTCGGGAAAGAGAAAATACAACAGTCTTTGCCTTCTTTTGTTCTCCCAAATTGTATTGCGTGTCTTTACTGCTTTAAGTTGTATTTTAGCCAGTGTTCTGCATGCTAGGAAATTTAGTTGCAGCACGTGAAATTAAGATTATGAGTGATTTCTTTCCTTCCTTTAGGGTATGCAGGTGGCAGGGGTGGGATGAGAAATCAAACCTGAGCAGGGGCCACTCCTTGCATGCTGAGCGGGGACTGACTGGCAGCAGTGCCTATGGCGACCTTGCGCTGAGGTGGCTGCGCCTTCCTTTTCCACAGGTCTCATCTCGTTTGAGGAATTCCACCAAACCTGGAAGCTGTTCAGCTCCCACATGAACATTGAACTCACGGATGACGGGATCAATGACTTAGTTCGCAGCATTGATTTCAATAAGGATGGAAACATCGACTTCAACGAGTTCCTAGAAGCCTTCCGTCTTGTGAAACAGTCACAGTAGTGAGAACTTGGTGAGGGTTGCCATGTCCAACGCCTTGACTGTCTGCGAAGCCGGGGGATTGCTTCCTACCTAACTGCAGACACAAAGCAGGGCAAGGGAAGGCAGGTACCTGTAGCACTTATTGGTTGAAAACAGCGAGCACCGTAGCCCACAGCTGTGATCCATTTGGGGAAGGTAACTGCTAAGATAGATAAGCTGCACTTCAGTTCTGACCATTTTTAAAAAGGAGCTGTGTTTTAAGTAGAAATTCCTGCTCAAAGGGAAGATGCAACTTAGTTTATCTTGTCAATGCCTGTGATGAAATGTTACAGGTCTATTCAAGTGCAGTAAAATGGAAGTAAAGGCGTTTCTTGTAGGCAGTGTTTAAACCAGGTGGCAACTACTAGAGCACAGCTTTCCTTTTAATAAAGTTTTTTCTAGATTGCTCGTTCCGAGCTGTTCATGCCTTCTCTAGTTTGTCAACTTTGTTAACAGGTGATATTACCTACTTCTCCGCTGTGGTAAGTTTGTTCTGTAAGTTTGAAGCTACTACATATGTGCACTGGAGCAATACTTAGAAAAAACTATCTGTCTGTCTGTCTCAAACATCCAACACTGTCTCTTGCAGGGGTGCTTTTTAAAGAAATCGATTGAGACCATTCTTTTTCAAAGGCCAGGGTAATAGATTAAGTAGCCTGCTGCTAGAGTGCCTATGCTGCACGTTCAAGATATTTTAAAAGCATGGTACAATTGCAGCCTAAAAAGGTGGGGGGGTATGGGGGAATAAAGTGTTTGCAAAGAAAAAAACCACCTATTTATCTCAAACATGCAGCATAGTCACTCAAGCAGGGGTGCTATGATAGAAGACTTCACTTTGACTGCTATCCTGGCCCTTGCAAAAGAGAATCCTTGCCTCATTCGATTTCTTAGAAGAGTCCCTGCTAAAGCCTGTCTTGCACATTTGAGATACTTTATGAATCGGAACCATGCTTCCAAAAAGAAACTAATCCTTTTCGCCTTTTATTACAGTTCCACATACACTTTTTTCAACTGTAATGGAACCATGCTTCCCAAAATAAACTCTCTCAAATGCACAATACAGGCTCTAGCATGCTGAGGCTGTATTTCTGTTTTTCTCTTCCAAATGTTATGAATGGAATTTTTTTTTTTTTTTTATGGCTAATGAACAAAATTATTCTGTCTCTACCCCTTTTGAGTTGTTTCTGTTGTACAAACTCCTACTGCGGAAAATAATGTGGTTTTGTTTCAGTCATTTTCAGTGACTTTTGTAATCAGGAAAAAAGGCAACTTGGTGGCGGTGGGGGAATCTGTCTCTCCAATGCATGTAGTAGCCACCTGCTCTGCAGTATTTGGTATCAGGTAGGATCTAAGGGACCTGACCTTGTATTTTAGTTTGGGGACTGAGGCTGCCAAGCAGCCCTGTGGCACTGGGTTTGATAGTCTGTTACCTGCAGTGGCTGGAGGAGAGTGAAGCCATTCACCTGCTTTGCTGATGTAGCTGAGAAAGAGCCAACACCATGCACAAGTTATTACAAAGTCAGACTGAATTTATTACTCTCCAGCAATTAAAAAAAAAGGCAGAAGACAACGTCTAGACATTCTGTTGTTACTTAAGGGGCAGCGAAGCTTTGTATAATCCACATATGTAAAGTGATAAAAATATAACCTTCAGATCCTTGCAGTCCAAAGGAATGACAGAAACTGGAAACATCAACTTCCTGCAGCTTGCCCCAGCAAACTACTGGTATTGCAGAGACCGACATCGTTACAGCAACATACATATCTGTAATGATTTAAATTAGCTGTTTACATAATGATGTTACTTGATTGTTTTGACAAAAACATCGAAGCGGGCTAAGCTTGCCACAAACCAAGTCACAAGTGGAACAATTCCCTCGGCACTGCATTTCTAGGACAATGTTGTTGTAAAAAAAGGGGGGGAAAAAAAAAAAGAAAAAATGTACAATAGTACATATAGTTTTATAGTAAAACGGTATCTGAACAGATTCAGTTTTCCTTCTTTTATTAAAGCATATACAGCTTTATAAAATATAAACCTTCCAAAGGTCAAGTTCAAAAGCTTAGAAGAGGCTTTGCTAATTCTAAAGATAACAGCCAAAATACCATTGTTCCTAGAAGATACGTGTTTTATTTTACCTCAACAGTTTTAGCCTTGGAAGGTGAACCATGAACTCGAGTAATGTGTTCTGTGTAAGCCCAGCAGCATCCACCACGTCAACTGAAGACTCCTCCTCTGATGGGAATGCTCTCGTTCAGCCCATGTTCTATAAGTTTGATATCTTCCAAGTCATCCTTTATAATGCTAATTAGGTGGCTCAGGCCTTCTTGCTGCTGCTTCAAATGCTGCAGATGATAGTTTAAAAGACAGCATGAGCATAGTTCAACTCATATTTTAAGTAATATTTCTCAAAGGTGCCATGTCTGGTGGCCTTGGCACATTGAAAAGCCTGGCATAATTTCTTTGGAAGAAGGCAAAGCAGCATTTTCTGGACTAATAGCCTGACTGCATCGAGTGGCTTTGTACAATACCGTGATGCACTGTCACTGAGAACAATAAAAAGGACTTCATCATCAAACAATTACAAAAACATGACATTCTGAATACATCTCCCAAGTTAGTGCGTAGCTAGCTTAAATTATGAAGTTCAGAGAATATCCCAGGATTCCACCCAGTAATACTTACTTGCTTGATTTCCCTTAAGAGGTCTGCATCTATGTAATATCGCTCTTCAGCCCGCACTGCTCCAAAGTGGTTTTGCATCCTGATTTGGGACATGAGCTCATTCAGTCTGCCCTGGGAACAGAAACAGGCTTAAATCAAATGCAACTCATTTACATCTGTCAGAGCTCCAGCATGTACTACTCCTCGAGTCACCAGGGCAGGAAGCATTGCCACTCATTCCATTTTTAATTTTTTTTTTTGGAAGACGTGCAAAGGGCAAGCAACTCCAATACTTCCAAGAACTCAAAAATACTTAAATACCTATCAGTCATACAGCAAAGAGCTTGATGCTACAACCTAGTAACACTGCTGGACTTCTCTTCTGAAAGCTTTCCACAACAAATACATTTGCATGGTTTGGAAAACTTACTTACATTCTTTTGTGAGGAAATAACAGAGTTGTTGGCAAAGTTCTATTAGCTACTCACCTTGAACTGCGTAGGTGCATTAAGTTCACACTGAATCGTATCTAACTGTACACGAAGCTGCTCTTCGTCTGCTTGAATGGCATAACCGCTTTTCCTTTGGATCTCCTGCTTTATTAACACCTACAAAAGAAGGCTTTGAGGTTCATTAGAGAAGACTTTGCCCACCTCTTTCCCCACTAGCCCATCCACATGTCTTTTTGCCCTTCCTCCAGCACGTCTCTCATCAGATTTGTTCTGTTGTTTAGTCTGCTGCTCCGAGACCTCAGGGCAGTCCCGTGGCTTCTGAGTAAGTGACAGAGAAGGTTCCCAAAGCAGTAAGACACGCTGCGCACCTGAAGCTTTCTCTGACAGCTCTGCCTGTTACTTAAAGCAATACCATTTAGATGAAGTCAGAATTTCATTTTCAACATCGGCCATGCGCAAGACTGCACAGGTCATCCTGCCCCCTCTCAGTTTGCCTTCTGGCACTAGACTGTGTGTCAGAAAGAGTTATTTAGACTATCCGTGTTACCTGTAACGTTCTGTGAGAAAGCGCCATCAGTTTCCTTTTGTACTGTGCAATTTTCGCCATAGTTGTCGTTTGGTTTTTCTGCAGCTCGCTGATATCTTCTGATATTATCTGCAGAGGAGATGGGGTCAGCTGGAAGTCATAACAGTTTCCGATAACAGAACACATTAGTCCTGATTTGAAACCAGGAGTTTCAAAACAGTACTCAGTCCAGCAACTTAGCGTCCTCGCCAAAGATGCTTCCAGAAAGCTTTTCGCTAGACCTCTACTGTTCTGGTTTCTATTTATTTTCATATGCAACTGGGATTTTCAGAAGGCATCAGAAAACTGGGTGACCAAATTAGAGTCTATGCCAGTGCAACTTAATTCAGCTGGTTTGAATTAGCCTATAACAACACAGCAAGTTTGAACCTGAGAAAAACCAAAGCCGAAACGTACCGCTTGGTTTTTGGCCAAAAGATATAATTAAGGAACATATTAAGAAATAGTGATAAAGAGTCACAGACCCATGCACATAGTTTCGGTTTTCAACACACAAGAGGCATGGGGAGAGGGTCACTTAATAGCACATCCTTTGTCAACAACAAGCAGTCATGATGAAGATGAGAAACCTTACATCTAATCGAGTTTGATGCTGTTTGGTCATCTGATCTTGGACCTTCAATCTTCTCAACAGTTCCTTGAAACCCACCATTGGCACAGGAATAAGCCTACAAAAATACAAATATTTCTTACAACACATTTTTCACGTGGTATGGATTAATAATTACGAATATAATCTAAAGTTACATATGATCTTGGCCTATTATAAATTAATATAATACATAAACATATCTTGTTTTGCTAAGTTCTACAGTCCTCACTATTCCTAACAACCTGTTCCTTTTTCATGAAGAAATCAGCCTAAGTTATCTGTAACCGCTGGAGGGTACAAGGGTACATCACTTCCAGCTGCAGGCATAAAGAGAAAAAACCGTAACGGTTGCAAAACAAAGAAAGAAGTCACAATAACTAGTCCATATAATGGAGGACACCACAACTTGAAGTCATGCAAGTAAGGCTCTTTATCCTGACAAACCTTAAGCACCTAAATGGGTAAAGGGATTACACAGGCATTTCTAGTAATCCTCACCGCTTCGAATGAGATCAGCACTTGACAAAGTTATTCTCTAGGAAGTTTCTTACAAGTTACCTGAAGGGTACTACACAATATTATATATTTCTCCCCTTTCCAAGTCTTTTGTAATACTCAGACAGACTATTAGACTTACTTGTCAGGATCAGGATTATCAACTTTGGCTTGTTCCCATATAATTGGATCAACACCTTAAAAAACCCAAACAAACAAGTTTTTAGTATCGATAGATCTGAAGAGATATCACATCTTACAGCTGTTAAGCAGGAAAAATACTAGGAAATACACACACCCTGTGAGCTACGCTAACCTGACTGACTGTTCTACAAATAAAGGTTAATTAAACAAGGGTAGTTCTTAAAAGTCTTGGTCCCGAACTGTGGCAGTAAGTTCAGTCCAAAAGGGTGTCAAGCATTTCTACTGGTTTGAAAGGAACAACCAACAGGTGATCAAATCGGACAATCCATACTTCAAGGGGAAAAATTCCCATCTTTTCCACACTATGCTACACTTGGGTCATCCTTCCTCTTCAAGTTGCTTATTGTATTTAAAAAAAAAAAATAAAATTACAAAAGCAGTAATTAAGCAATCAAAGAACTAAACCAGTTGGCAAAATAATCCCAGTAGGAATTATGACAGTTCCTAACAGGATTTGTCTAAGGATTTTATCTGTTGACAGAACAGTTGCTTGTTTTGCCATGAACTTCTTCACTGGGCAAATACGTAAAACAAAAGCAGTCTAATTGTACATGTACATCAAAATCATGATGCAAGTTACTACATCCTCCATGAACAGCACTTAACTACTCTAAAACAGAGCTGTATACCTACTATCTGTGGCCACATATACAGGCTAAGTGAGCCCCCCAAAAACTAGTAAGTGAATATAGGACATGATTATTCTGATATTTACCTTTGGTTTTTTTAGTTGGACAAGTTGAAGTGATTTATGATGGCTAAATCATATAGTATGGTGTTGTGTGGCATACTACTGATAAATCATAACTGTCTTGGTGGACTACATTGCACTTCAGTGGGAAAACTGGCTGTAATTAAAACCACTACGTCAGTATGCCAGAATGCCTTGGAAACTCTTGAGTTTTAAAAGGTGTTTTCCAGTGGGCCGACAGCTGCATTTTTCCCGGAGACCCAAAAAAGCCCCAGCAGAGGCCCAACCGTGCCCCTGCGCAGCCCCAGACCACGTACCGGCAGGAGGGTTCTGCAAGAGCTGTTTGACTTGTGCCGGGGAAAGCTCTGTTCTGGCCATGGAGAGACTGACCCCCAGCTGCTGCAGGGACGATTTTATGTTGGCTTGTTCAAAGTGGGCGTAGAGGGTCGTTGCAGGAACTCTCCTCGAAGTGCCGTTGGGCGAGCGCTCAACAACGTAAATGATCACTTCTGTCCTGAGCAAGACAAAATGTGTACTGTCAGGAAAAGGTCAGCAGCATATAAAAACTAACACAATAAAGAACAACCCTACATCTAAGTTACCACTTCTCCCCGCTGACTGTTATCTTCCTTTAGCTAACTGAGATATAAAGTACCAGTAAAGCTAGGGTTTAACATAGCAAGGCAGAAAGAGGAAAGCTGTAAGTATCCTACAAAATTACATTCTCATATACCTCATAGCTCCTAAAATACCAAGTATTTATCCCACCTTCACGGTTAGCATCCTCATCTCCAATTTTTGCTGCTGAGCAGGGCCTGAAGAAGCCTATTTCCTGACCTGAGCTGAGATCCCTCAGCTGTGCACTCCAGCAAAAGCAAGAACATACACAGGAAAGATACTGGACTTAATGCCTTAAGAAAAAGCAACACAAAGGAATGAGAGACATGAAATCAAACTCAGGATGAACAGATCTAAAATCAAGGAGAAAGGGAGACAGAGTAGACTAAGCACCAACCCTTTATAACATGCAATACTGGATAAAAAGGCAAAACTGCATGAAGTTCACATACTGGTCATCTGGCAATGTCTTAACACCTTCTACATTGACAGTGAGCGTCTGGTTTCCTCCCAGAATTTTGTGTAGTGATTCTACGAGCTGCTGCTGCTGGCTTCGAATATCTGTTTCTTTTCTGTTAAAGACCAAGACCACGAGGCCATCTTCATCTTTGTTGTTGGGCATTAAACTGTAACCCACAGCCTGCAAACAAACAAACAAAAACTGGGGATATATTACTTAGCAAAAGCATATCTGTGTGGCATGAAGGGGAGGGGCTAAACCCCTCAATTTTTAGAGCAACCGGTTCAAAATTTAAGTTACGACACACTCAGAGATGCAGAAACATAAAATCAATCCCTCTTTAAAATGTTCTCTCACAAGGCCACCAGTACAGTAGCTCTGGAAACAGTTCAGATTTTTACAAAAAGTTTTGT